TAACGTTGTTCAGATATATTGAGGCTCAGATATAGTGAGTTCCGCCTCTAGTGAGGTAATTCCATAGAAGAGGGTCACAATTACTCTTCCCCTTCCCTGAATCAAATCTTATAAACTCTTCCCAGGAACTGTATGACCCTTATAGACTTGACTCCGTTCATAATTATCCTGCCACTACTACTACTACCAATAATAATAATAATAATAATAATAATAATAATAATAATAATAATAATAATAATAAAATAATAATACAATAATAAAAATGCAATAATAATAATAATAATAATAATAAAAATAATAATAATAATAATAATAATTTTTAAATTCCCAGAAAATAGCTGATATATTGAATCAATCTTCCTGGTCTGGAGTAATAATCTTAACACAAATACCAGTCATGGTAATTATAGCGTGAATAATTACCTTGTAATTAGTGTTGCAGTTAACAAGTTTAGGTACATAAAAACTACATTGCCTTCATTATTTAAGTCTCATACTCAGCCCATACATCATACACCTGACACCTCGCACCTCAACAGGGATTATACCAATCATACAGCTTCCCACCTGTGCAGTTAATACTTTTACAGCGGATTATAGAGCATGAAGGTATGAAAACATGTTGCAGAACAAGCTGATACTGGGACATCGTTGGCTGGTTAATTGGGTTTAAAGCCCATCGACTACACGAGGGTCATTAAGGCTGCATGCAACCTGTTCACCACCAAACAAGAATACTTTATTTCCTAAAATAGGGATTAGAGTAAACACTAAGCACATATACGCTGAGAGAAATAAACCCTCACAGGGTTTATATCCCGTGAGTACAATGCATCGTGGCCGAGCAGTACCCAAATAATTTTTAGTGGAAACACAAGGTCACAAGGAAGCTATGCAATTATCAGCGCTACGATTACGAGAATTTTGCCAAGACACGGCAACAACTTACCCCGAGAAAAATAACAGCAAAAAGTGTGAATTAACTTCACGCTATACATGCGCTGACAACAGTGATAAATACACACCAGCACTGTCTTGAAGCTCGCTGGACCAGGACACTAACAGTGTCTTGAAGCTCGCTGGACCAGGACACTAACAGTGTCTTGAAGCTCGCTGGACCAGGACACTAACAGTGTCTTGAAGCTCGCTGGACCAGGACACTAACAGTGTCTTGAAGCTCGCTGGACCAGGACACTAACAGTGTCTTGAAGCTCGCTGGACCAGGACACTAACAGTGTCTTGAAGCTCACTGGACCAGGACACTAACAGTGTCTTGAAGCTCGCTGGACCAGGACACTAACAGTGTCTTGAAGCTCGCTGGACCAGGGCACTAACAGTGTCTTGAAGCTCGCTGGACCAGGACACTAACAGTGTCTTGAAGCTCGCTGGACCAGGACACTAACAGTGTCTTGAAGCTCGCTGGACCAGAACACTAACAGTGTCTTGAAGCTCGCTGGACCAGGACACTAACAGTGTCTTGAAGCTCGCTGGACCAGGACACTAACAGTGTCTTGAAGCTCGCTGGACCAGGACACTAACAGTGTCTTGAAGCTCGCTGGACCAGAACACTAACAGTGTCTTGAAGCTCGCTGGACCAGGACACTAACAGTGTCTTGAAGCTCGCTGGACCAGGGCACTAACAGTGTCTTGAAGCTCGCTGGACCAGGGCACTAACAGTGTCTTGAAGCTCGCTGGACCAGGGCACTAACAGTGTCTTGAAGCTCGCTGGACCAGGACACTAACAGTGTCTTGAAGCTCGCTGGACCAGGACACTAACAGTGTCTTGAAGCTCGCTGGACCAGGACACTAACAGTGTCTTGAAGCTCGCTGGACCAGGGCACTAACAGTGTCTTGAAGCTCGCTGGACCAGGACACTAACAGTGTCTTGAAGCTCGCTAGACCAGGACACTAACAGTGTCTTGAAGCTCGCTGACCAGGACACTAACAGTGTCTTGAAGCTCGCTGGACCAGGACACTAACAGTGTCTTGAAGCTCGCTGGTATTTCCTCTGCAATATGACAGTACCTCTACGACATGTCAGTTCCTATGCAACAGGACAATTTGTCTGCAACATGACAGGTAAGTTCTCATGCAACATGACACAAATTCCCCTGCAACATAGCAGTTAGTTGCCTTGTAAGAGTACTGGTAGTACCCTACAACATTACTGGAAGTACAATATAGCTGCCTCATTGTAATATGCTGATGATTAGGATGTGAGGGAAAAGTAGGCGTAAGTGGGGTTAAGGTTGTTCGGGCATCCAGGAACCATTAGTTACGTCGCGTGCACCCCCCCTCCTCTCTGGCGGGCTGGGGCGAAACTAGTTCCTGGTGTCCGATTTGTTAGTTTCTACTCCTGGTAATATTGACCTTACCTGGTGTGGGTTGAAGTTTGGAGAGTCACTTCACCTCCACTCTTCTCCTAATCAGGTAGGGTGATATACCAGGAGTATCACTGTTTGTTTCTTTATTTTGTTTGCTGGTTACCAGTAATGATTTTGGCATTTATCATTCTTTTCAATTCTTAAATGTTATATTATCATGACTATGGGTAACCAGTTTTTCTCTTATTTACCAGCTCTGTTCCTGGCGTGGTCTTCCAGGATAGACGCCAGATAAAGGAGCAAGACATGTTAATAATACTTATTAACATTATTCTACTACTACCGGCCCTTACCTATTCTACTTGTGCTCCATCCAAGTGGTAGGAGATTCCAGAACATCGGATTACCATCTGCCCAGGATAACCTACATAAATAACATCAGAGGAACTATCCAGGGCCATACCTACTCCTACCCAACTACAAGAACTGAAGGCCATTTTTTTTTATTATATTTAAATTTTAAGTAAAATTCTCAAAAATCATTTTTCTTGTTTTTCCTAAATCATTTCTTTATTTATTTATTTTTCCATTAGTTTCTTTTGTTCAGTTGGAAGGCGTTCCACTGACAATGGCGACCTTGCCAGGATCCGACTCTTGAAGCAACATCGTCCTGATGGTTCAACTGGTCGTGAGTATAACATTTAAGATAGAAAAGGGTGAGTTAGTTGAGGTGTCAAGTCATTACTGGTAGTCTGGTTGACTTACCGTTGTTTGGTTCTAGGGTTCGGTTTAGAAGTTTACCTATTTGTTGGACCTGGGGAACTTTGATGATAACCCCTCCTGTGTGAACCGTGTGTATTTTGCTTAGTGAAGGCTATTGAGCCCACAAGTGTATTCTTCCAGGGAGAAATATTTCATTTTCTACTTTGGGAAGTTTAAAGTGTGCGGACTGTGTCCCTCTTTTGTAACAGACGTTACTGTTAATTTTAAGTAAGTCAGTTGAAGTTGGGTGCTTAATATTTCTTTTTACAAGATGGATTCTTTAGATTTCTGGTTGAAAGCTGGAAAGGAAATGGGATTTACTGGACAAAGCCTTGATAATTACATTACTGCTAAAATGGCTATTGAAGAGAAAAAAGAACAGGAAAGATTAGCTCGAGAAAAGAAAGAGGAACAGGAAAGACTAGCTCGGGAAGAAAAAAGACTAGCTCGAGAAAAGAAAGAGGAACAGGAAAGACTAGCTCGGGAAGATAAAATCGAACAGGAAAGGATAGCTAGAGAAGACAGAGTTCAGGCAAGAGAGGTAGCCTTCAAAATGAAGGAAATAGAGTTAGAACAAGCAAGGTTGGAATTAGAAGCCAAGAAGATAGAACTATCCAAGCAGAAAATAGATGAAGGGGTTTTAGAATACCCTTCCCAAGAACCTAATATTAGGATGCCACAAATACCACCTTTCTCGGAACAAGATGACATAGCGGCATATATTACTAGATTCGAGAGTACTGCTACTCTCTGTGACTGGCCAGTAGATTCTTGGGCTACTAGGCTTGGCTTACTACTGTCAGGTTCAGCATTAAACGTCTATTCCACTCTACCCTCTGATGTTTATTTCTAGTTATAGCCTGCTGAAGAAAGCTATACTACAGGCTTTCAAAAAAACTACTCATCATTACAGGTCGGAGTTTAGACACATTAAAATAACTCCTCATCAAAATTACATGCAATTCTTAACAACACTTTTCAGATTATTTGATTCGTGGATTGATAGTGCTGAGGTTGACCACGATTTCGAATCTTTACGAGACCTGATGGTAAGAGATCAATTCCTTTCTTCTGTAAACTCTGACTTACGAATATTCATTAAAGAACGAAACGTTCATACGGCTGCGGAAATGGCACAAGCTGCTGATATATATGCGTGCGCTCATAATAACTACCCTAAGGAGCGTAGCAGATATAAGCCTGTTGTGCCTAAGCAATCTGAGGGATCCAAACCCTCCGTACCTAAGAATTCCACGGCCTTCACAGTAAAGTGTTTCAACTGTAATGAGTGGGGTCATAGAAGGCCCGACTGTCCTAGAAAAAAAGGTGAAAATGTCGGTAAATGTTTCACTGAATCAAACATAAATGCACCTTTTAGTGAAGGTACAGTCAATGGTATGAATGTGTCAACCATTCTTAGAGACACTGGATGTTCCTGTATTGTTATCTCAAGTAAGCTCTTCCCTAACCTAGATTCTTCACGTTATAAGTCCACTAAGTTAACTGACTATTTAGGAAGAAGCGACTCTTTTCCAACAGTCAGATGTTTTGTTAGGTGCAAATGGTTCTCAGGATGGGTAGATGCCGTAGTTGCCCCGATAACCTCATGTTCTGTTTTGGTTGGGAACATACAAGGGGCTACTTTCCCATCTGAGAAGGACTGTTTGGAATTTGGAGTTTCCAAGGAAGGGTTGGAACCTAATATCTGTTTCTTCACAGATAGTTCCAGATGAGATTCAGTTGGATAACCTAAATCAGAGAGCTGATGGTTACAAAACTCCGGTAACACCTTTAGTAAGTCAGTCACTTGAACTGGACAACGCAGACGCCAGTGGAAAACTACGTGTGGCACAATCTATACAACAACTAGATTCGATTAACGTCGTTACCAGAGCTCAGTCTAAGGTAAAACCTATCCACCCATTAGTTCTTTCCAAAGGAAAGCCAATCGAGCTGTCTCATATAGATTTAGAGGGTCTTCAAAAGACTTGTCCTTCCTTAGAGGAATCTCGGAAGTTAGCTTTAAATGGCAAGGTGACCCAGAGAAAGAAATTTTCTTACAAGTTTGAGTTCAAACACGATCTTTTGTACAAGACTATAGTGTCTGCGGACAAACCCAATGACGTTGGTCGAAGCCTGTTAGTCATTCCGCAGGATTGCCGTGAAACCATTTTAAAGATTTCTCATGACTTGCCAGTCTCTGGCCATTTTTCACATAGGAAGACCTATAATAAAATCAAGAACCTATATTTCTGGCCTAGCATGCCCGCTGACATCTATAAGTACTGCAGATCATGTCACGTATGTCAACTTTCCACGCAGAAGGGTAGAACTAGGAGAGTTCCTATGGTAAAGATGCCAATTTTCTCAGTACCTTTTGCAAGGGTTGCAGTAGATATAGTTGACCCTATCACTCCTCGTTCATCAGGTCATAAATATATTTTAACTTCGACTATGCGTCCAGCTGCCCAAAGAAGAAAGATATTCCACTGTGGATAAAGAATGTTATGCATTAACAGACACTTAAAAGGGGCTCTGGCTATTCAGCCCTATAAGCCTAAAATCGTTCATATTTCTGGCTCTGAAAACCACTTCTCAGATTGGCTGAGCCGAGGTTGTACATAGTTCTTTTCCCTCTGTTCGTTGACTTATTGACTCCGTCCATAAGTTTTGGAAGGGGGTATTGTGAGGGAAAAGTAGGCGTAAGTGGGGTTAAGGTTGTTCGGGCATCCAGGAACCATTAGTTACGTCGCGTGCACCCCCCCTCCTCTCTGGCGGGCTGGGGCGAAACTAGTTCCTGGTGTCCGATTTGTTAGTTTCTACTCCTGGTAATATTGACCTTACCTGGTGTGGGTTGAAGTTTGGAGAGTCACTTCACCTCCACTCTTCTCCTAATCAGGTAGGGTGATATACCAGGAGTATCACTGTTTGTTTCTTTATTTTGTTTGCTGGTTACCAGTAATGATTTTGGCATTTATCATTCTTTTCAATTCTTAAATGTTATATTATCATGACTATGGGTAACCAGTTTTTCTCTTATTTACCAGCTCTGTTCCTGGCGTGGTCTTCCAGGATAGACGCCAGATAAAGGAGCAAGACATGTTAATAATACTTATTAACATTATTCTACTACTACCGGCCCTTACCTATTCTACTTGTGCTCCATCCAAGTGGTAGGAGATTCCAGAACATCGGATTACCATCTGCCCAGGATAACCTACATAAATAACATCAGAGGAACTATCCAGGGCCATACCTACTCCTACCCAACTACAAGAACTGAAGGCCATTTTTTTTTATTATATTTAAATTTTAAGTAAAATTCTCAAAAATCATTTTTCTTGTTTTTCCTAAATCATTTCTTTATTTATTTTTCCATTAGTTTCTTTTGTTCAGTTGGAAGGCGTTCCACTGACATAGGAAATATGTACTTTAAATACACTTTTTTAAAAATAGCAAAGTTATACGATTTTGATAAATATATATTTTGGCAGTTGATCTTATTTCATTAAAGATTAAAGCACTTGATATGGAGTGAGGGTTTGTGGGGAGATAGGTTTGAGATGGATGGGGTGTGGGTTAGATGTGGGGTGTGGGTGTGGGTTAGAGGTGGGGTGCGAGTGTGGGTTGGAGGTGGGATGCGGGTATGAGTTAAAGGTGGGGTGTGAGTGTCGGTTAGAGGTGGGTGTGAGTGTGGGTTAGAAGTGGGGTGTGAGTGTGGGTTAGAGGTGGGGTGTGAGTGTGGGTTAGAAGTGGGGTGTGGGTGTGGGTTAGAGGTGGGGTGCGAGTGTGGGTTGGAGGTGGGGTGCGGGTATGAGTTAAAGGTGGGGTGCGAGTGTCGGTTAGAGGTGGGTGTGAGTGTGGGTTAGAAGTAGGGTGTGAGTGTGGGTTAGAGGTGGGGTGTGAGTGTGGGTTAGAAGTGGGATGTGGGTGTGAGTTAGATGTGGGGTGTGAGTATGGGTTAGAGGTGGGGTGTGCGTGTGGGTTAGAGGTGGGGTGTGAGTGTGGGTTAGAGGTGGGGTGTGAGTGTGGGTTAGAAGTGGGGTGTGGGTGTGGGTTAGATGTGGGGTGTGGGTTAGAGGTGGGTGTGAGTGTGGGTTGGAGGTGGGGTGCGGGTATGAGTTAAAGGTGGGTGTGAGTGTCGGTTAGAGGTGGGGTGTGAGTGTGGGTTAGAAGTAGGGTGTGAGTGTGGGTTAGAGGTGGGATGTGAGTGTGGGTTAGAAGTGGGATGTGGGTGTGAGTTAGATGTGGGGTGTGAGTATGGGTTAGAGGTGGGGTGTGCGTGTGGGTTAGAGGTGGGGTGTGAGTGGTGGTTAGAGGTGGGGTGTGAGTGTGGGTTAGAAGTGGGGTGTGGGTGTGGGTTAGATGTGGGTGTGGGTTAGAGGTGGGGTGTGAGTGTGGGTTGGAGGTGGGGTGCGGGTATGAGTTAAAGGTGGGATGTGAGTGTCGGTTAGAGGTGGGGTGTGAGTGTGGGTTAGAGGTGGGGTGTGAGTGTGGGTTAGAAGTGGGATGTGGGGTGTGAGTTAGATGTGGGGTGTGAGTATGGGTTAGAGGTGGGGTGTGCGTGTGGGTTAGAGGTGGGGTGTGAGTGTGGGTTAGAGGTGGGGTGTGAGTGTGGGTTAGAAGTGGGGTGTGGTGTGGGTTAGATGTGGGGTGTGAGTATGGGCTAGAGGTGGAGTGTGAGTGTGGGTTAGAGGTGGGGTGTGAGTGTGGGTTAGAGGTGGGGTGTGCGTTTGGGTTAGAAGTGGGGTGTGCGTGTGGGTTAGATGTGGGGTGTGAGTATGGGTTAGAGGTGGGTGTGCGTGTGGGTTAGATGTGGGGTGTGCGTGTGGGTTAGATGTGGGGTGTGAGTATGGGTTAGAGGTGGGGTGTGAGTGTGGGTTAGAGGAGGCATGTGAGTGTGGGGTAGAGGTGGGGTGTGAGTGTGGGTAGAGGTGGGTGTGAGTGTGGGGTAGAGGTGGGGTGTGAGTGTGGGTTAGATGTGGGGTGTGAGTGTGGGGTAGAGGTGGGGTGTGAGTGTGGGGTAGAGGAGGCGTGTGAGTGTGGGGTAGAGGTGGGGTGTGAGTGTGGGGTAGAGGTGGGGTGTGAGTGTGGGGTAGAGGTGGGTGTGAGTGTGGGGTAGAGGTGGGGTGTGAGTGTGGGGTAGAGGTGGGGTGTGAGTGTGGGTAGAGTGGGGTGTGAGTGTGGGTAGAGGTGGGGTGTGAGTGTGGGGTAGAGGTGGGGTGTGAGTGTGGGGTAGAGGTGGGGTGTGAGTGTGGGGTAGAGGTGGGGTGTGAGTGTGGGGTAGAGGTGGGGTGTGAGTGTGGGTAGAGGTGGGGGTGGAGTGTGTGGGTAAGGTGGGAAAGTGAAGTGTGTATAGTGTGAATAATGTGTATGATGTGTATAGTGTGTATGTGTTTCTCTAAAACTAATAAAAACTAACAAGGGGCTTGTTAAATTAGCAGCTTTATACCACCTAGAGAAACAATGAAGATAAATACAGAGACAAAGCAAAAACCTTCACTGGCACAAAGTCATCTTTCATTATCAAAGCTAAAACGAATTCACGTGTTTTATTCACGATTGTAAAATCACGTGTTTTGTTACACATAAAAGTCATATGTTTTATTCACGCTTCTAAAGGTCATGTTTTTTATTAATGTTAATAAAAGCCATGTTTTTTATTGAAATTATATAATTAACTTAGTATTTTAACGATTATGAGGCTCCGTATTTTATTCACGGTTAAAAAAAATCACGTTTTATTTTCACTAATTTTGTTCTCAATTATAAAACTTATTTAAATTCACGCTTATACAATTATGCGTATACAATTCACGTTTTGCTTATGCGTATACAATTCACGTTTTGCTTATGCGTATACAATTCACGTTTTGCTTATACAATCATGCGTATACAATTCACGTTTTGCTAATACAATCATGCGTATACAATTCACGTTTTGCTTATGCGTATACAGTTCACATTTTGCTTATGCGTATACAATTCACATTTTGCTTATGCGTATACAATTCACGTTTTGCTTATACAATCATGCGTATACAATTCACGTTTTGCTAATACAATCATGCGTATACAATTCACGTTTTGCTTATGCGTATACAATTCACGTGTTTTTTTTCAATTCATGTTGTATATTTATGTTTATATCAGTATATCTTTGCTCAGAGGAATGAAACTCATCAGAGTTGTGACAGTTGACACTTGATAAAATATATTTATAATTGTTTGTTCTCTGTGAGAGAAATCAAGTTTTTTTTGGAAGTCACTTCTCAGTAATATTTAAAGCAGAGGTTCAGCTGTCTGATTCACCAAGGTGCAACAGTTGGGTAACTTTATTTATTGAAACGTTCCACCTACACAGTAGGTTTCTTCAGTATGACTCACGAAATCGTAATGAAACGACTGCAAACAAACCGTACCCCCCGGGCGGGGTTAGAACCCGCGATCAGAGAGTCAGAAACTCCTGACCGACGCGTTAGCCACTGGGCCAGCTAGCCACAATGGATGAATCTTATTGTGACTAGCTGGCCCAGTGGCTAACGCGTCGGTCTGGAGTTTCTGACTCTCTGATCGCGGGTTTTTAACCCCGCCCTGGTATGGTTTGGCTTCATCAGTATTTTACTGAAAAAGTCCTCTGTAGGCGAAACGTTTCATCAATAAAGACACCAAAATGTTCAACATTGTCCTTATTTTACAACATCATTAACGCACTGCTTTCTAAACACCTACGTACAGCTGTCTAATCACTCACTATACATTACTGTCTAAGCTCCGATTCACTGATAAGTCTCGATGTTCTGCTGTCTATTTCCCGATTCGGTGCTATCTAACCCCGTATGTACAGCTATTTCATCCACTGTCTACTGTTATCCACATGATCCCATAATTTTTACAATCAAAGCCTCTTGGGATAACTGTATCTAGTTGTTTTGATAATTTAAGGGTTATTCTCGCGCTATTTTCATAAGTATGATACTCATCCGGTGAAGATGGCAAGTCACTTTCAGGACGCAGGAAAATTAAAATCTGCTATTACGGTGATGTGAAGTTTTGCTGGTAATTCCAGTGTCATTGTGTGTGTCTGACAATGTTATTTTTTTTCCATTGTAGAGGTAATGAGTACCGGGAATTATGTCAATGTTATGAAGAGAGAGAGAGAAAAAAATAGAGAAAGAGAGAGTGTGTCTGTGATCGCCACTTGGGTACATCTTATCATAAAGATCTGCTACACGCACAATAACTCCGGCTTTACGTATTTTTCATTCGCGTTCTTTTCACGCAAGGTTTCTTCTTATTATGAGCAGTTTGTTGCTCTTCTAATACCTGTGTGTGTATGTGTGTGTGTTGTGCATCTGGTTGTCTCCTAACACCTGCGTGTGAGTGTTGTGCATCTGGTTGTCTCCTAACACCTGTGTGTGTGTGTGTTGTGCATCTGGTTGTCTCCTAACACCTGCGTGTGAGTGTTGTGCATCTGGTTGTCTCCTAACACCTGTATGTGTGTGTGTTGTGCATCTGGTTGTCTCCTAACACCTGTGTGTGTGTGTTGTGCATCTGGTTGTCTCCTAACACCTGTGTGTGTGTGTGTTGTGCATCTGGTTGTCTTCTAACACCTGTGTGTGTGTGTTGTGCATCTGGTTGTCTCCTAACACCTGTGTGTGTGTTGTGCATCTGGTTGTCTCCTAACACCTGTGTGTGTGTGTGTGTGTTGTGCATCTGGTTGTTTCCTAACACCTGTGTGTGTGTGTTGTGCATCTGGCTGTCTCCTAACAAATGTGTGTGTGTGTTGTGCAGCTGGTTGTCTCCTAACACCTGTGTGTGTGTGTGTGTGTGTGTGTGTGTGTGTGTGTGTGTGTGTTGTGCAGCTGGTTGTCTCCTAACACCTGTGTGTGTGTGTTGTGTAGCTGGTTGTCTCCTAACAAATGTGTGTGTGTGTTGTGCAGCTGGTTGTCTCCTAACACCTGTGTGTGTGTGTGTGTGTGTGTTGTGCAGCTGGTTGTCTCCTAACACCTGTGTGTGTGTGTGTGTTGTGCATCTGGTTGTCTCCTAACACCTGTACTCACCTAGTTGTACTCACCTAGTTGAGGTTGCGGGGGTCGAGTCCGAGCTCCTGGCCCCGCCTCTTCACTGATCGCTACTAGGTCACTCTCCCTGAGCCGTGAGCTTTATCATACCTCTGCTTAAAGCTATGTATGGATCCTGCCTCCACTACATCGCTTCCCAAACTATTCCACTTACTGACTACTCTGTGGCTGAAGAAATACTTCCTAACATCCCTGTGATTCATCTGTGTCTTCAGCTTCCAACTGTGTCCCCTTGTTACTGTGTCCAATCTC